GGTTTGATTGTCATCTTCCACACCTTTTGACTTAAAATACCCCAAACTGCACACTCAGCAGATTAAGACTGAAATTTTGGGTTTTACAAGCTAGGAAGGAAGGATCATGGGGCTAGCTTCATGCGTTGTTAACAATTTTATGGCTTTTTCTGTGCTTCTGCTGTGTTTTGTCTCCATCAGTATTGCGGCTGCCGGGAAACAGGTGCAGGAGGAAGGGCAGAAGCTGAGGTTTGGGCAGAATGGGGAATTTAAGATAGTGCAAGTGGCTGACATGCACTATGCTAATGGGAAGACGACGAAGTGTTTGAATGTGCCTTTCGATCAGGAGGCTGGCTGCTCTGATCTCAATACCACCGCTTTTACCCAGCGGATAATTCTAGCCGAGAAGCCCGATTTTATTGTTTTCACTGGTAAGTCCAATGATCCCTACTATCTATGTTTCTAATTTGCAATTGCAAGTCTAAATGCAAATCACAAACTGTGTAAGCAAATAAATATCTAGTTTGCTCTATCTTGAGGGAAAAATTCTCTTTTGCTGTAATGGTATTTGAGGTTTTCTATTTATGGGTTTTAAGATGATGAAATCGTTACAGTGAGAGAGATTGTAGGAAGCAATAAGTTACAAGGGAATAGAAAGATACAAAAGGGTTGCTTTGTTGGTATTGTCCCTGTAGAAATATAAAATCTATTTATTATGGTGTGACTGGCTCAGATATTAGCTTTGTTTGCTAGTTGTCTCTTTCTACTTGTTCATTTTCCCCAGGGCTTCGCATTTTTTAGGGCCTTTTATTTTGTTTTCCTTTGATTTTGGGCTTTTGGCTTTGGAGATCTAAAGTTTGGATCTTTAGGGCAGTTGAAGAGTGTTTTGTGGATAAAAGATGGTTATCCCATTATGTATGGTCCATAAATCCACATCTTGTGTACCAGAAATTGAAATTAACCTTTGCACATGTTTACTGCTTGTGACAGGAGACAACATCTATGCACGTGATGCCACTGATGCAGCGAAATCTTTGGATGCTGCCTTTGCACCTGCGATTGCATCAAAAATACCATGGGCAGCTGTTTTGGGGAATCATGACCAGCAAGGCAACCTATCAAGGGAGGGTGTCATGAAACATATAGTTGGATTGAAGAACACTATGTCTAAAATTAATCCTCCAGATGCACCTGGTATTGATGGTTTTGGTAACTATAACCTGGAGGTTGGTGGAGTTGAGGGGTCTGGTTTTGAAGACAAGTCTGTTCTCAATCTATACTTCCTTGACAGTGGAGATTACTCCACAGTTCCTTCCCTTTGTGGCTATTATGATTGGATTAAGCTTTCTCAGCAGCTTTGGTTTCAAAACACTTCTGCAAAGCTTCAGGTAATAGTCTCTCTGGATTATAGTCATACTGAATTTAAGGTTTTTTTTTCTATAATCCTTTGCTCATGGCCTTGTTCCTGCAGTAGCTCTATTGGTCACAACACGTTCCATATTCTAAAAGTCTGCATAGTTCAACAACTAGAATGCACGTATTTGCAGATAGCTGATAGTTCCACATTTCATAAGAATATGCTTGATATCATTTTGTTTTGTGCTGCAGAAAGCCTACATGAGCCCACTGGAGGCTCAGAAAGCCTACATGAGCCCACTGGAGGCTCAGAAAGCCTACATGAGCCCACCGGAGGCTCAGAAAGCTGCTGCTCCTGGAATTGTATATTTTCACATCCCATTGCCTGAATTTGCCAGATTTGACTCGTTGAAATTCGTTGGAGAAAAACATGAAAGCATTGGCTCTGCACCTGTGAATTCAGGCTTCTTCACAACCATGATTGAGGCAGGGGATGTGAAAGCTGTTTTTACTGGTCATGATCATATCAATGACTACTGTGGTGAGTTGAATGGCATACAACTTTGTTATGCTGGAGGTTTTGGATACCATGCCTATGGGAAAGCTGGATGGCCAAGGAGAGCAAGGGTGGTGGTAGCATCTTTAGAGAGGACTGAAGAGGGTACTTGGGGAGCTGTTAAGTCCATCAAGACATGGAAGCGCCTTGATGATGAACATCTCTCAACTAAAGATGATCAGGTCCTTTGGAGTAAGAGCTCTGCAGGTAAGCTAAACTATAACTTTTCTCACTCTTTGTGTTAACTAGTCTTATTCATTTAGAAGGTTGGAATTATAAGGGAACATCTTTGTAGCAGTTTTCAAATTGTGTAATACAGCCAACTAAACGGGCCATGTAATGGTATCCTGCTTGATCAGTTCTTCTGAGTGTGTGTGTGTGCGCACGCGCGTGTATGGGTATATCATGGAATAATTTTTTTTTCTCTGGAAAAATAAATAAATAAACAAATTGCCTAACATCTAACCGATCATATGGCTAATTAGTTGATCTATGCTTTTACATCTTATGACTTGATTCAATGGCTTTGATTTAACACCATGTGAGCAAATTCACACATTAGACATTCAAATTCGAATAATCCAACGAAAAAATTTAGGGGTTTAATCTGTTTTCTTTTGTAGCATGCACTAGATGTTGTCTCATGTGTTGTCAAACACCAATTACAAGTTTGGTACAGGTCTTTGTATTTCCTGTTGTACATTCTGTGTCCATGGTTCCTGTTCTTCTGTTACTCACTTTCAGCTTGCCACTGCACAGGTAACAAGAGAAAGGAATCAGTGGTGCTCACGAGGAGCTCTAGCTGAGCGTTAGCCGGCAACGCTTTGAGAATGCCGGCTTTGATGTCGGTTCAAATGGAACATTGTTAGTCGTGTTTATTTTAATGATTTGGTGACTAATTGTTTGCCTATGTGTAACTGTTTGCTGTAACCTGTAAGGCAGCCGACAATGATCTGTCCACCAACTGTATTAGCTGGACAGAAAATTGATCTAAATAATGCCATTTAAATTATAAAATAAAAATTATTAAATAATGAGTACATTTTTTAATATATATTTTTTTCTATTTAATAATTTATGTATTGTAGCCTAATATGATATGCACAGCAAAACATAATTTTGTTAACTGAAAATCACAAGAATTAAACTGTTGGCAAAGAATTCAGAAGATGGAAGTGTTCAGACAGACTGCAAAACTCCATTTTCCGTTTAGCTGAGTTTTGATATATATATATATATATATATATATGTGTGTGTGTGTGTATGTATGTATGTATATCTAGTAAATTTTTAATAATATATTTAGATCAAATATGATAAATTTTAATTTTTAAATAAAAATTTAATTTTAAAAATATTATTATTAGTTAATTATTATATATATAAGTCTTCAATTATATAAGTTAAAAATATAAATTGTTAAATGAAAGAGGATCTCAATATTAAAAATCACTCATTATTGAAAACTAAAGTTTAGGGACTGGGCCTACATTCCTAAAGTGCTTAAGAGCGTAGATAAGTTTGGGGGACTCGG